CTGTGTGTCTTTCTATAAGGACATCGGGGATTCAGATCCAGGCCCATCTGGCTCCATTATGACCTCATCCTAATGAGATCACATCTGAAAAGACTATTCTGGAACAATGCTACGCTCACAGGGCGCAGGCACAGTGGAGACTTCAGTCTATTTCAGGGGGACATGATTCAGTCTGTAACACATTCCTTCTCTAGGCGACCACCTCATGCTAGAAAGCTTGCCCAGAGCACCCTCAGAAGCCCCACATCACTGGAAACCCCTCCAACCTAGGCAACCTGAGAGTCAGCCTGTCACCCCGCCCCTAACTGACATCCCCTTCCCTGCTTGTGCCCCAGGGTCTCCCAGCCCAGGTACTGAGCACCATGAGTCCTTGGTGGTGTGCGGGCTGTGGCTGGCATCCATACGCCTCTCTCCTAACCCGTACTTTACTGTTGGGAGCAAATCGCATGCAAAGGTATGCTTGCCTGATTCCACTACGGTTATAAAATTCTGTTTGAGTTCAGTCATATGTGGGAGAGAATCAGTGATTCTTTTTAACTTGAAAAATATTGGGTCACATCCCCAACGCCTCTGCAGCGTGAGGGCGGAAGCGATGTGTAGCAAAGTTTGTGGGGCCTGAAAGCAAACAACTGTGTGCTCGCTTCTCTGGGTTTGCCCCACAGATGCAATGCAGCCCCAAGGGAGGAAGAGGTGCACGGCCCTCCATCCTGCATCGCACTGGGCCTCAGAGGTGAGCAGAGAGCCATTTTTTAAAGAGCTCTTGTAGTTTCTAAAGACCTCTCTGGCTGCCAAGCAGGGCTGGATTCAGTAGGTCTGTTTGTTCTTAGAAGAGACAAATGCAGAAGCCAACATGAAACCAGGTAACAGGAACCGGGTATCAGGTACTCTGTGTGCAGTGAGGGGGCTCAACTGACTGACAACAACACAGAGGACACTTTGTGTTGCTGATTGGTTTGCTTGATCAACCGATTGGTAGATTGATTGATTTTTGAGATAGGATCTCACTGTGTCACTTAGGTCTTGAATTCACTGTGTTCCGCCTATCTTAGCCTCCCAACCGTTGGGATTACAGGTGTACACCATGCCCAGCAGCCCAGGGAACACACTGCCGTGGAAGAAATGTTTTACATCTTGATAGAGGTGCTGATTGCACAGCTGTGTACTTCTATCCAAACTCAATGAGCTTTGTGTACCCTCCGGATCTGTGCGTGTACTTCATTCAGATTTGACCTTGATAAACAAATGTGTGTTTTCTAATCAATGCTGCAGGACAAAGCCATCGGGACTTAGTAGCCAAGACAGCATCAGGGGAGGAAGAGGCTGGTCTGGGAAGCAAGGAGATGTCAGAAAGACAGCAGGGAGAGAGGAGGGACACTGAGGCCCAGGAAGTGAGGGAGGAGAAAGGGGCAGAGGACAGTGATGTGGGGAGTGCAAGACTGAGAGGGGGTGAGAAAGGAGACCCCAGCCCCCAGTACTGGCTAAGAAGGGAGGAGAGAGCCCTGGGAACCAATGGAAGAGTTTCAGCAGAGGCCAGGAGTGATGCCTATGTGCTTCTGAATGGCCCTCTGGGCTGCACTGTGGAAAACAAACTCAGGAGAGGCACTGAGGTAGAAGACTTAGCTGGGAAGGTGAGGGGCCATGGGCAGACACAGGCCTACAATTTAGCTTTATGAATAAAGTTTTATTGAGACGCAGCCAGGCCATGCACTTGGGTATCATGGTCGGCGTTTGCTTTCCCACTAGAGGGTGAGGTTGAGTGGTTCCGGAGGAGACGCCGGGCATTCACTGAACAAGTTAACAGCCAAGCCCTGGCTATGCTCTGGAGAGGAGGTGCCCGACCAGGGGGAAAACATTGCAGGGTCCCCAGGGCTCCTGAGGATGACTTTGGGTTATCCTGCTGCCACCTCATCACCCCCATCTGCCGTGCAGTCAGAGAGGACAGTTCTTCTCACAGGGCACAGGGCACCAGGTGGTGCTTTAACCTCACTGCTACAGCTGAGGATGATGACTTCCCGGGCCGCTGGGGGCTGATGTGTGCTAAGGCACAGGCCTTGGTGTCTGTGAACCTTATGTGAAGGACTAGGAGTTTCCCAAGCAGGAAGGGCTGTTTCTGGTCACCCCCGATGTTGGAACCTGAACTCGGGGCCTCCATACAAAGCGGAATCTTTACCTGTTTTTCAACTTTTCTATTTTGAGCTATGTCCTTCCTAAGTTGTCTAGGCTGGGCTCAAACTTGTCACCCTCCTGCCTTACCCTCCCCAGAGTGCTGGGATCACAGGCACGCACCACCACACCCAGCTCACTTTTTTGCTTGTGAGAAACCAGTTGAATGCCTACTTCTAAATTTAGTCCAGAATTACATTAGTTTGTAATCTTGTTATTTTCAGAGCACATTGGTTTGGGGTTAGATTTCCAGGCAGTGCCCATACCCTGCCTCAGACCACCTATGTCACTTGTCCTGTCATGAGTCAGCTTGTCGTGAGAGTAGAGAAAATCCAAAGACACTGGCTTGAGAGACACAGGGTTTATTAAGACTCACAACACATTTACAGGGAGGAGAAGGTTAACGGGACTTACTAATGGGTCCCATTATGGGGCATGCACTTAACCACAGTGCCACGTGGTAGGTCAGTGGTGACAAGCTGTACAAGCACTAGCAGAAACCACTCAGGAGGCCCAATAGCACCAGTATTTACCCAGGCCACCGTGTTCTGTTCCACGTCCAGTCACCACAGGAAGGGGTTTGTAGAGGACGCTGCACAGCAGCAATATCATGAACTCTGTTCCAGGGTGTGACCAGAACTTCAAGGAACAGTTGACTCAGCACTCGGGCAGGAGGGAAGCTCCCACAGGCAGCATGGATGGCCTGGTTCTCAATGTCCCTCGGGTGACCCTTACTCAGCCCGTGCAGTCTGGGCATGGTTCCCATGTCCGCTTCACTAAGTGAGAATCCTGGGAAACTGACAGGGCATCTGGGGACATGGTGCTAGATGCCCACTTTAGCTCAGAGGCCATGCACTGATCTGCACAGCAGCCCAGGGGGCTGCACGGTGAGCCGCCCGGCTATGGGCCAGCTGCATAGTCCTCACCTGTTCCCCTGCTCAAAGAAGCTGCTACATCCTCACATGATGCTGACCAAGGGAGTAGGAGAAAAAAAGCACCAGTTTCCTTTAGCACCTACTTTTTCCTAAAAGCACAGTGCCAAAACTGCCTCATATTTTTAGCATAATTTGACATTGTGCTGCGTTCTGAAAGGAAATTTTCTTTTCTGAATCAGAGAATATGGGACATTTTCATGATCACTTCTAATAATGTAAAAGTAGATTTATAGGAATCATGTAATTATGGCTAAGAGCCTTTGTTTGGGCTGGGAAGGGCAGGAGACTGCACTTACCTGGACAGGGTAGAGGGTGGGGGCTCAGGCATCTGCCCTGCTGAGGTCCTCCTGTGTTGCTCAGTTATTAACTTTGCTGCACAGTCCCCCACAAAATCGTACCAACTTCACCACGTTAGGTTACCTCATCTGTAAAATATACCCGTGACCAGGGTTGGTGTCCGTCAGCAAAGCCGGCATACAAAACAATCAATGAACAGTTGCTACTTATGACGGTTAAGCCTGATCGTGTCAACTGGATTAGTGCAGGAACTGCCCAGGGCACTGGCAGAGCACATTTCTGATTTCGGCAGAGTGTGACCTTGAGGACCACGTTGAGTCCCTTTACTCTCCAGTGCTGCTCTGCTGCCTGGCTGCCATGAGCAGTTTCATCCCACCATGCCCTTCCACCACCCTGCTCTTGCCTTGGAGCCAGAGAACTGTGAACCGAATCCATTGAAGCCGTGAACTGAATTAACTCTCTCCCTCCTAAATTGTGGGTGTTGGGCAGTGTCCCAGTCACAGGAAAGCTGCCCAAAACATTACTGCTATCATTAGCCTGACTCTCTTTTCTCTGCAGCCCAAGCTAGAGTCCAACAAGACAGTGGCCAAAGGGAAGAGCAGGACACTGTTACTGTGGGCCTCCTTAGCAGCAGGACCCTTCAGCTGGATTTCCTCCTCTGCAGGGGGACCCAATGGCCTGAGCTTGCATAAGGAAGATCTGGTTCCGTTACTGAGCAGAGCCACGCTCATTCCATTGGGCCCCTCCCCGCTCCCTCCTCAGGCCAATCTCACAGCACCCTCCAACCAGTGCCTTTCACTCAGGCACCTGCACACTACGTCATGTTCAAAAACTCAAATGTTCATTTGATTTCATGCAAATCACAGGAGTAAATGGAATGTACTAAAACCCAGATCCTGCTGCTTGTGGAGGACCACTCAAAGGGGCTACCACCCTACATTTAGATCAACACATATTTGTTGTATGAAAGAGTCATGGCCCAGAGAGCTGGAACCAGAAAGGGTTCTATTCCTCAAATGTTTCCTGGCATCCCCTACAAACCAAGCACCAGGCAAGGCCCAGGGGACTGGAACACTGACAAGCCGAGGTCTGGCCCAACCTCTCCTGGGACACGGGATCCCTGATTGAAGGGCACCTGGTCAGAATATTAATTAGTGAATTCGATCTTTGTGCATATTTGGGGGAAAAAACAGTGCTCTCTTGGTCTAAAAAATAATCCATATTTTCCTCTAAATGGGACATTTCTCTTCCATTTTGGTGTCACGCGTGACTTGTGTGAAGTGAAAATGCAGACAGAGTGAATCTGCCTTACTGTGAGCTAACATACAGCAAGGATTACACTTTATTTTGACAGTGACTGGCTTTTAAATGCCTCATTTGCAAAGCAACAATCAAGACTGTTGCTCCTCATCTTTTGCAGGGTTGGAAGCTGATTCATTTCACCTCAGAATGCTTTGTTCGTGCCCTGTAGAATTAGCTATGCGTGTGCTGCTTTATTCAGGAAAACTGATACAGGAATGGGGAGCTGTCAAAAATATCTGCTCAGAAGTGGTTTTATAGCCAGTTAGTTTACTGGTTAATTTCTCTGTCTTTGCCTTTCTGCAGAGAAGTCTGGACACCTACTGCTTCCTCGTCTTTGCTGCAATATGCTTTACAGGTGCTGTCTACCTCTATTTTGTCCTGCCGGAGACCAAAAACAGAACCCACGCAGAAATCAGCCAGGCGTTTGCCAAGAGGAACAAGGCATACCCCCCAGAGGAGAAAGCTGACTCAGCCAGCGCCGACGAGACAGGGAACCAAAAGCCAGAGCCAGATTCCCCCTCCTCCACATTGAACAACTGTGCCAAAAACAGGGTTGTTTAAAAGGATGGTCACACCGGTTCAGAGAACCAAAGGCTTCTCCATGCTGGAAGGTGCACACTGACTCAAACCACACAAGTCCTGATCATTAGGTATTTCCTAGCGAGCTGGTTCTCACCTAACTAAATACCTGGCTCCTCATTCGACTTAGCCACATTCTTTGGGAAGTTGGAAAAGAATCACCCTGTGTTTCAGTGACCCAATATTCTTCTGCAGAGCTCGATGACCCACCTTCTCTGTGACCCAACCAACAGTTTCAACACATAGTTGGATGGGGGGCTGGAGGTTTAGCTCAGCGGCATAAGCACCTGCCTTGCAAGCAGGCAGTCGTGAGTTCGATCCCAGGTACCAATAAAAAGGAAAAAGACAAAAAAAATAAAATAAAATAATTGGATGAATACTATTGGAAAAGTAGACAATCTGACCTGACAGAAGGCTCAATGGATTGGAAATCATGCACTAAGGTTCCAGTCCCAGCTTCCCTGTCAGTAATCTCTCCCTGCATCCTGGAGCCTCAGACCCTGGACTGTGATCTTGGACAAAGGCTCTCAGAGTTCGGTGGGAAGAGACTCTGTGCCTCCTAATAAATGCCTCTGCCCATCTTTGGCTCTGCCTTATGGGTGCTGGGCTGAAGAGCACCATCCTGCTGCTTCTGCTTTTCCTGGCTGTGTGACAGAGGATATAAAGAAGATTGATGTGCATAAGATCTAGCTAGGTGGCTGGAGGAAAGAGCTCTCTCTTTAAGTAGAGACTATGAGTTGAATTCCACTCAACTGAGACATGTGTTGAGAATGGCACTGAGAATAAGCCTAGGCTTGATGGGAAGGAGCCTGTAATCGATTGATGATGTCTGCCTCTGGTGAAGGAGCCAGTGGGTCCACGCAGGCACTCACATCTGCCGGGTCTTGCAGGGGTTTAGCTATAGGTGTAATAAGCAGTCTTGGAAGGAGTGAGCTCACCATCACTCAGAGTGCTCAAACAAGGCTGAGTGGTGATTTGTCTAAGTGCCATTTGTCGAGGAAGATGTTTGGAGTGCCCGTGTCCAAGGAAACGTCCAACCCTTCCATGCTAGGGTTGCTAGGTCAGAAGTTGCTGTGGTCATGAACAGATTATGGCTTGGTGGATCCGATACACTGCCTCCAAATCCACACCACTGCAAAGGACAACTTTCCCATAAATGACCATGCACTTGAATCAGCACCACTGTGTTTAAATTATCTGTCACAGAAGAGGTGGGGCCAGAGAGGAAAGGCTCTATCCTGGCCACACACCTTGGGAGCTGTCTATTTCCAGTGATCACTCTTGACCAAGGTGGCCTTGGGCAGACCTGAGCTCTGATTTTCCTTCTGTACTGACCACTTTCACCTCTCCTGTCCCTGATTGGCAACGGAACACACTGTGCCATCCGGCTGTGGTTGGACTGGATAATTTGAACAGTGTATGTCGATATAAGAGAAAGTGAACTATAAGCCCAAACCTGTCCAAAATCAGAAGAAAAGCCAAATAAAGTATAAACTAGAAATCTTTCCTTTCAAGTGTTTTCATTCACTGAGAGACTTGAGCATGTGGTGAATAAATATGAAGGCATTAGCTAAGCACTAAAGACACGTCAGGAGGCAAGACTCGTGCTGGTGTCTGCCAGACAGATGGCAACTCCAAGTACTGATGGTAGAAAATGTGGCAGGACCAGTGGAGGTGACAGGAGATAAACAGGAAAGCCTTCCCAAATAAGTAACGGAAATAGGATGGGGGCCAGTATGACTGTCGGGCAATGGGGCAGGAAATATTCTCGCACATTATTACATTCGGAAAGATAGTAGAGCCACATTAAGGAAATTTTTTGAAAAATGAAACAATAAAGCACCCCTCGTCTCATAGGCTTTGTTCTCTCTAGCACTATCTCTTCATACAGCTCTGCACATTTGTTGCCTGTTGTTTACCCACTTGCAATCACAGAATACATAAAACACAATTACAATCATCTTTCTCTTATCTTTTCCCCTCTTGATATTAAGTCAAATGTATCATCTGGATTCTCAAACTTTTTGTCCATACTCTACTGTCGGTAGCTACTGATTCTTCGCTATAGAGTCATTTTCCAGGTCCTGAAAGATGACGATAAGTGGTAAATCAGAGAGACAGACATCTCCCTGAGCTTCACTGCACAGGCTCTGGGGCTTTGCTGAAAGATGTACCATTCACAGCATCCTGTAGCTGTGCGTGGACACTAAAGCAACCTCCAGTCAAATCAACAGACCTCTGTGCTAGTCAGTTGCCCACCACTGGAACAAAATACCCAGTACTCACAGCTCGAGGAGGAGAAGTTTACATAGCTCACAGTTTCAGTGGGTCCAGTTCAGTATCAACTGCAATGAAGGCAGAATGCCATGGTGGAAGGGCGGGCAGAGAGCAGCTGCTCAGCCATGGCAGCCAGGAAGCAGCGAGCAAAAGGAGGAGTCAGGGGTCCAGGCCACTCCCCAGTGATCCATGTCATGAGCACCAATAAACCCACCCCTGTGATCCAGTCACCCTCACACACGTGAGGCCTTGGGGACACATTTAGATATAAACCCTAACAGCCTCCTTGCCTAGTCCATGCTCAAGTATTAAAATTGTGTCTTTGTCCTTCTATCTCACCTCCCTCCTTATGCCCTGGCCATCTTACCATTTCCTCCTTATGTCCATACAGGTCAGCATTTCCTCTTTCAGGTTCATTGAAACTCAAGAAACCTCTTCAGCTTCCAGTTCTGGCTAAGAACAAGAGCAAGCACATGCCACCATTTTTCTCTCACTGATTATAACTAAAAACTCTGGAGAGAATTATAATGACTACGCAAAGACTCTGAAAATAAGTTATAGCAGCAAAGTGAGGCAGTCGGTCAAAACTGGAAAGTCAGATAGCAGAGCAGGGAGTTTCTGCGTCTTCTCCTGCTGTATCTGGTCCTCCCTCGGTGGACCAATTTCCAGAATGGCACCATAAGCACTGGGAGAGAAACTCCAAGCAAAACCTGTCTTTCCTGTGCAGAGTAATGCTATGGGGTGAACTGGTGGGGGAAAGAGGCCCTGCAGAGGCCGAATACCTACCAAAGGGACAGCACCTAAAGAAAAGTCCCTGGTCCCTCAGATGAGAGGGACTAGAAAAGTGGTCCCAACAGCCTGGTCAGATGCTTTCTATTTTTGCTACTGATGTTTTACTCCAGATGTAAACCCAGTGTGTCATGTGATCTATGAGAATGATAAAACTTAGAATTTCTAGTCAAAAGCCAGCAGTGAAGACTGGAATGTAGAGCATGTAGAGGATATCACAGGAGAGAGCTGAAGAAAGAGGGACCCAAGTCTATGTATGAAATCTTAAACTCACCCCTGGATTCACACAGAGGGTGTGATACAAAATCTGGTGACTGTTTAAACCAAAATTTTTGACAGTGTATTGCAGGTTAAGACACATTAGTAATCCCTCTCAAAATCCTCCCCCTCGATGCCAGCACACTTACTCCGTCATTCTGTTACTTTCTGAAGATGTTCTGGAGTCCTCTTCCCTATGTGTCTTTTCATGGTGGCCTCAGCATCCTGAATTGATTCAAAATATTTATGGCAACCTCTGTGAAATAAAACCCGATGCTGTATCCTCGCCCACCTTATTCACGGGACCTGGCACTGTGCAACTTCTGGCTCTTCCTCAAAGTCAAAATGATCATGAAGGTAGAAAATTTGAATGAACTGAGGACAATGAGGCAGCCACAGCAGTGCAAAGAAAGACACTCAGGAAAGAAGACTCCAGAACTGTGGCAGAAAGTGGCAAGACAGTGGAATATGTGTGCTCAGCACGAGGGAGAGTCTTCCAAGGGGCGTTAATGGCAACACATCTTATACTGTAATAAAACATTTTCGTTTAAACGGTCCCATGTTTTTACCACACTTCATGTATGAATTTGTATGGAATTTGTAATTTTTAACACACCAGTGTGCTTCATGCTATTTCCCAGGTCTCATGCCATTGGCTCTCACTCTAATCCACAGTAATGTGGATTAGAATCCCCTGGGAGGGCATTCCCCCACCTTCCTGTGGAAGTCAGCTGCAGTGCTCTGTAGGGGCCCGAGACCAGTATTTTTATCAGCACTGCAGTGAGAACACCAGCCTCAGACCCTGAGAACCACACTGAGGTTCCTCAATGGCACACCTGTAAAATCAGGTGTTCTCTTGCAATGTGATTTTGGGTCATTTAAAAATGTATTTTTCCAGGTGTGGTGGTGCACACCCATAACCCCAGCACTGTGGAAGATGAGACAGGAAAATTTTGAGCCCATATTAGGCAAATTAATGACTTAGCAAAACCTGACTCAAAATAAAAGACAATAAAAATGGAGTGGGAATCCCCAGTATTGAAAACAACCAGTTAATCAATATGTGTATCACTCGTTTTAAATTTTTATGTGTTAACATTTTTTGTCTTGAAACGTAACTACACTTACAGAAAATACATACATAAGACAAAAAAATCATCCAAATTTCCAATTTTTAAATTTATTTTTCTAATTTTTACTGAAGTCTGACAAAAGTGACACATATTTAAGGTATGTGACCATATCGATCGCCACAATCAAGAAAATTAACATACCCCACAACGTGAAGCAGATCCAGCTCTCTAGACACTCAGCGAGTTAATTCTCCATGCCCAGCTGCCTCTGGACCAGGAAAGGCGCTGGGCTCTCAGGAGTTGCTGGAGCTGTCTGTGGTGCTGATCTGGGCTTTCTGCTTCACAGAGTTCATTGCTCTTCAAATCTATAAAAATACTTCATATTATTGCCTCTGATGCCAGAGACAGCCTATGAAGTAAGTATTACTGGGTTCTCATTACGTTGTTAAACCCTGTTTTTCGAGCTCCAAGGCCAGCCATGTTCAGTGTTCCTATACCACACTCCAGGGTCTCCTGTCCCTGAACAGTGTGATCATGAGTTTCCCTGCGGTGGACGGTGACATTTAATGACCTTAGTGAGTCATGCCTTCCGATACACCTGCCCAAGTGCAGTGCACTAGCACTGTCCTTGCTAGACTTGGCTGTGCAAACATCTTTGGCCACTGAGATATCAGAAAAGGAGACACAAACAGAAGGGTATAATCAATATACTCAAGATCTTTGCCTCTTAGGATGAGAATACAACAGTGTGAGTATGCTCACTGTGTCCTCCTTCAGGACCACACAAAGAGGGCTCAGCTCTTCCCCCTGTCACAGGAGAACACAGGTCCAAGTCACCCTCCCAACTTAATACAGCTGTACAATTGGCTCCAGGAGAAAAATAACAGAACTAGCCAACTGATTCATAGGATTCCACAAAATAATAACCCACTGTTGCTTTAAACTACTTAAGCCATGGAATAGTTTGTTAAATAACAATGGGTAACTGAGAGACCCATTGTTCCTGGTTGCATTTTTCTCATGTGAGTCCTTTAATACTGCTTAGAACTCAGATCCCCAAATAACAGCAGGATTAATATTCTCTGAATTCATGGCTCATTCATTCATCTTCCAAACATTAGCTGAGCATGTGCTATACATCTTTGCTAGGTAACAGAGATGCAAATGTAAATGGAACAAATCTCTGCACTCAGGTAGAAAAAATAGAAGGGATAGCAAGCCACTGATAGCCAGCACATGCCTCTGCAGAGATGCTTTTCTCCCCCTTATGTCTTGGATAACTCCTACAAATCCTTCAAGTCCATACCAAGGCACCTTGGTCTCTGCTGCTGTTTCTATGAGTCTGGGACAGGCTCTTTCCTTTGGCTCTTATGGAAGCTGGTTTTCTCCTTTATTGAGAGACCTCTCACTGCTTTCGATTTTTGAGATTTTTTTTCTTCCTGCATATCTCCTCTGCTAGACACTGGGGTCCTTAACAGCATCAGATCTATTTCAGGAGGCCATGCTGTTAGTAACTGATGAGTGCTCATTGCCTGTGGACTAAACAGATGAATGTCATGATAAAGCAGGAGAAGGCTGTGGTAGGAGTGAGGGAGCCAGTGTGGTGGGGTGATGAGCCCAGGTGCTTCTCAGAAGTAGCACATGAGCTGCACCTCAGATGACATTAGAATTTCACCAGACAAGGGGCTGAGGATTTATCTCAGTGGCATAAACACCTCCCTTGCAAGCACAGTCATGAGTTCAATCCCCAGTACCAAACAAAAATATAATTTCGCCAGACAGAAAAGAGGAAGAGGAGAAATTTAAAACAAACGGTGGAAGACACAGGAATGAACACACAGATGGCACATTCAGGGCTTGACTAACTATTGGCAGAACCAACCAAGGTGGCTGTGGGGATGAACATGGGGCATGACACTGGCCAGTGATTTCAGTCTACACTGAGAAATATGAAATCTTCCTGGAAGCAAATTTGCCCCCACATCTTCTGTCTGTGGCTGAGCATAGGCCCATGCAGAAAACACTTTGTCCTGGCATTGCCTCTTAATTGAACATGTGATGAAGCTGTGGGAGGTCAGGTCATCATCACCAGCCTTCTCCTCCC